GGGGGGGGGTGTATTGTGGAACCTGGCCTTGGGGCGGCAAGGAGAGTAAATTGGGCCCTGCCTATTGTGTGTATTTCTGGTGTTGGCTTGGGTGCATATTTCTGCGTGTGTATATACTGTACTTGTATGTGTGTGTATTTCTGGGTGTGTGTTTGTGTGTGTGGGGTGGGGGGTGTATGTGTGTTTCTTTACGTGCGTATTTCTGTGTTTGAGTGAATGTGTGAATCTATAGGTCCTCTATGATTACAATTAAAAACTGCAGGAAAAAAGCATATACTAACCCTGCACACATATACACATGTATACATCCTGATATGACACACACACACAGAGAAACATTAACACACATACCGACATCACTCATCAGAAATCCTGACAATACACACAAACCATCACAAACACATATACATTATAAACACACGCAGACATTAACACCGGTACCGTACATAGTTACATTTTATTTTGAAGTATGAACTTTAATGTAAGCGGTCCCCATGGGAGAAGAAAACCAGTGGCCCCAAAGTGAATTGAGTTTGCGACCTCTGCCTTAAACTGTAAGTTTCCTTTGAAACACCTCCCTGATCTCAACATTACACTTCCTTATGTCATTAGTTGTAGATTAAATGCCATTAGATGAAGGCTTGCTGCCTAGCATGCTGAAAGCTGTAAACAATGGCCAGCCGTGGGTAAGACAGGCACCGTGGATGCATCTGAGATTTGTTTCTCTATGGCTAACCATGATGATGAGAGCACAAAGAGAGAGTAGAGATGAGGGGATGGATCTTTTTTAAGACAGTACCTAGAACATGATTTACAGGGTTATTCACTAAGCTGCCGAAGGCAGCAGAGTGAATAACCGAGCCGAAGTGAAAAGAGCCGAACGACGTTCGGCTATTCACTCCGTGTTATGGTAAGCTCAGAATACCTGTCAGGGTTTACTGTTCTCCTCTAAAAATCCCAGCCAGGATATTCTCTACTAATGGAACTAACAGGGTCCAGGCCAGTATGGTTGATAATAGTCACAGATTCCAGACCAGGACTGAGGCTGGGCGTGTCGTTTCTGATTCAGAGGGGTATTGAGGCACCAGCTCTGCTGTGTCTTTTTGCTGGTGCTGTGTCTTTTTGCCAGCTTCCTGTTTGTGAAAGAGATTATACTTCTGTTGTTTTCTCGTTGCTGACCTGGACTGTTTGACCCTTCTTCGCTTGCTGCCGCCCTAATCTTCTGCCTGGACCCTACTTTGCTTTTGTCTTCTGTGTTTATCCTCTGATTGCTAGTTGCCGACATTGGACTGTCTGACCACCCTCTGCTAGCTGCCTGCCTTGAACTCTGCCTAGATCTGACTACTGTCTCCTCATTGGAGCCCTTCTGTTCTCATGCATCCCCTGGCAGGGCAACCCTGGGGACCGCAACCTGGTACCAGCAAGCAGCCTAACCCATCTCCACCATCAGGAGCTCTGGTGAACGCCAGCTGGTACATAGGCTCCGCCCCTCAGGTAAGCCCGTGTCATCTGCCAGGGAGTGTCACCCTAACACTCCGGCTCAGTACGGCTGATTTCAGCCATACATCGGCTGAAATCAGCCGTACATCAGCTGCCTTCGGTCAGCCGAACAAGCTCTCCCTGTTCGGCTGAGCCGAAGTGCAGAAGGACTTCAACTCAGCCGATCCAACATCTGGATCGGCTGAGCCGAAGCCCTGGCAGCTCACTTGCTGCCGTTTGCCCCTATTCTCATAGGGGCCAAAAGGCAGTGAGTGAGTAGCCGAAAGCCGCTGAGTGGCATTCGGCTCGGCTATTCTGCTCGGTACCACAGAGCAAATAAGTGAAACATTTTTTACAAAATTGCTAAATGATGTTAAAAATGTAAAAAAAAATAGAAAGAAAGAAAAAAAACAAAGAAAATCCCAAACAATTGTCTTCTAGCAGGTCCCGGTCAATGAATAGCAAGTGGGCGGAGCCGGCCGTTTAATGACAGATCAGCATTCCCAGGTCACTTTGGGACGCTGATCTGTCATTACAACTGGGCGGAGCCAGCGGTGAAATCACGGCGGGCTCCGCCCAGCTGTCATTTGCAGGGCGAACGGCCGGCCTTCGGCTCGGCTAAGCCGCTCGGCCGCTTTCGGCTGCTGTATGGGCTATAGTGAATAGCCTGTACAGCAGCCCTTCGGTTTGACTGAAGCTACGGCTGGATCCTTCGGCTCCTTCGTGAATAACCCCCTTAATGTATAAGAAACTGCTGTGCTTTTAAAAGGTGTAAAAGCAGAGAGCCAGCATCAACAATTTGCGGCCAAAAAATTAGAAGCTTTTTTCCATGCAGAGGTGTGTTAAGGAAGATTGCGGGGGTCTAAAACCTTCACTCATCAGTGAGGAAGACTTTACAACCTCTTAGGCTGTCCCACACTTACAAACAACACCCCCTTATCAAACACCCCATCAGATGGCTGGGGCTTCCCTCTCTTGTCTGATCTTTTTCAAGGAGCACTAAAACAAGTAGAAGGACAGGGAAGAGATATACAAACCAGATGGCCATCTGTTCTGGATGCCACTGCCATCTGGAGGAGGGGTTTGATTTAGTAAGCCAAAATGTCTAAAGTAAACCAATAATAATAATAATAAATAAAAATTTTGGGTCTTGAGGTTATCACTCTTCACACCACATTGTCATTGTCATACAATGATGAACTCAGCTACTAAGTGTTTGATTGTGGTTAAGTTTTAATGACTGTATAAACAAATGCACTATTAAACCATTAAAACTAAAGATCAATGATAATGGCCAAAGCAACCACTCAGCTTTTTCCATTGCTCCCAAATGCATGATGTGAACTTGGTTATTGATATACAAGATTTATATAGCAACAGTTTGCACAGTTCTTTACAATATAAAGACATTATAATTACAATACAAATCAAGACAAGATGATAAGGAGGGCCCTGTCCTTAAGAGATTATAATCAAGGGAGGGGCAAGTGATACAAGAGGTGGTGGCTTTTTGTGGATGAATTGTTTGAGAAAGTGATAGTTCAGTGGTTAAGTTGAGGAAGGATAGGCTTCCCCAAAGAGGTGAGTTTTCAGGGATCGCCTAAAAGGCAGACAGTGTAAGAGAAAGATGGACAGGTTGGGGTAGGGAATTCCAACGGATGGGAGAGACTATAGACAAGTCCTGGAGGTGAGCATGGGAGGAGTTGACAAGGGAGCTAAAGAGCAGGAGGTCATGGGAGGAACGGAGAGGATGGTTAGGGTGATACTTTGAGAAGAGGTTGGAGATAGCTGGGACAGAGTTATGGATGGCTTTGTAATTGGCAGAAGAACTATTTTCTTTAACATGTTTCAGGCATTTGGGATTCTGTTGCGTCTATTTTTTCCAACAGTGACTATTATAGGTTTCAATAAATACATAAAAATAATATATTGAATGAAGTATTGAAGGTCTGTAGTATACATAAGTATATGTCTTTTATTTAAGGTGATAAAATATAGTCAACACCTTTTTTTATATTTAATTGTGTTTTCCCAACTACCTTTGC